CCCCCCGCCCCCCGGTCTGCTTTTTGACCTCGAAAATAGGTCTGAATAAAGCACACAACTTTTCGTGTCCGCGGACTACGCGGAGCTGCTTTTGAATGCATCTGTTCGGGTGTGTGTGCTCACAGGCGTGCAAGAATGTACGTGCCGCTTAATTAATGCGAGTATATGTATACATTCACATCTTATCTACTGGTATATAGGTATAAAAAGTCGTCAAAAACGTATCCGATTCTCAAAACAAAAAAAAAGAAAAAAAAATCCAAATTCAGGTTAAGCTTAGCTTGGAACTACAAAATAAAAATAAAAGAAAGAAAGAAAAGAAAGAAAGAAATGTATCCAGTCCCCGAATACCAGATTGTGTTTCACTTCTATTTTCAGCTTTTTTTTTTTTTTCTCGACATTTGTCCATATTTAATCGAATTATATTTAATTCGAGGTCTAAACAATCAAACTCTTGCCTTTAAGTTGCCTCATTCCAACCCCCAGATCATTTCTTTGATGTTTTAAATCGCATCAAACAGCTTTTCCATGAAAAAAAAAAAAAAAAGGAAAAAAAAAAGTTTAGGACTTGGCATGCTGAATACAAATATGCAAATAAATAAGCATTTAAGCATTTACTCTTGGTTTCCCGTCTGTATACTAGTGTGTATTGCGTCTCTCTATCTGCCTATATGTATATGTAGAGCTATATATGTATTCTGTAGTCATGCCTATATCTATATACTAGGTGTATATTTAAATATACATATACTGTCTTACTCATATGCATATTATATACTCACCTCGTAGATATCTTCATACTTGACATTTTCAACCAGTTTCCAGAGCATGATGGCAGGCTGTTCTCTAGGAGGTGAGTGCATTCATGTGAAGAGCAGATGTCTGGATTCTCAGTACTTCTCTGTCTGTAATGATCCATCTATAATTGGAAATGGGGGACAGACACCAAATCCGACGTTCCTCTTCCATCGCAACTTATATCTGTTGTCTGAAACAATAGGCTGCAGAAGTCTACCTCAATCGGATAGTAAAAAACATTATCTGGTACATAGTTACATATATCTACAGACATATATGAGACTAGATATATATATACACATATATAGACTTAGACTTATATGCAGGCATATAAAGATATATACGTATACGCAGTTGCACATACACAGACATACATATACACATGTATATCTCTCAACATATAACTTTTTCCCTGTACAGACATTTATAAATTGACACATTTATGTATGTAAATGATACATATTCTTGCGCATGTAGGCACATGGATACTCCACGTTACCTATGCATGTATACATACAAACCTGATCAATTTATATTGGAGTGTATATAAACGCGTATTTGTGTATATATTTATACATTTAGACGTATATATATGTATACAGTGATCAAATATATGTATTGTATAGCATATATATCCGCTATTTTACTAGACGGTTAGTTAGATGGATGGATAGAAGAAAGAAAGGAGAAATTAATGAATATTTTTTCGATCCTATTTGTATTAGAATAAAGAATAGGTTGCCTCTGCACTAGGCGATTCATCATTTACAACGAGATATTATGCTTTTCCCCACATGCAATATGCTTTTATTTACATGTCCAGAAATTATCCTCTCATATGCAGTAAAACACCAAACCAGCGTCTCATCAAGCACATTCAAGCAAATCTAAAAGGAGTAAATTTAGATCAGTGATTTTCATTGGAAAGCCTTGCACTTCAGATTTGGACTGTATATTTTATAACTTGGAAACACTTTCTCTGAAAATAAAAAAAAAAAGGGGAAAAGAAGAAGAAAAAAAAGGAGTTTAGCAAACCCTTCTCTGCACACATTTAAATAGCGATTAGTTACTTTCTGAAAACGATTAAAACCAGAGTTGGGTTTGTGCGTTTCCCGGGTAGCCCTCGGTTTGGAAGGGGAGAGGAGGAGTTGGACCATTTGTAACCTTTTTTTTTTTTTTTTAATCCCCCCCCCCGGGCAAACCTTCCTTCGCCCTCTGACTCTGGTACCGCTGTAGCTTGAAAGATTGGCAGAGCGAGTGCCGTAAGATTTCAGGTAGAGCTCAGCAAGGCTCATTTAAGGATTACTGCAGGAATGGCTCCTTCGTTCTTCCTTTCGTTTTTTTTTTTTTTTTTTTTTTTTTTTTTTTTTTTTTTTTTTAACACGTTGTACCGCAAAGAGGCGACCTATTCTGCAGGCGAGCAGAGCCCATCTCTGCCTTTGAAAGGGAACAATTGAGCTTTGCAGTGGGCTGGTGCACTGTGAGGAGGGAGGGGGGAAGAAAAAGGAAAAAAAAAAGGTGGTGGGGGGGAAGAGAGACAGAGAGGCAGAGAGAAAGAAGGTGTTTCTAAATTCAAGGTCCCGTCTCTGGAAATTTCAAGCTCTGTCTACAAGGTTCCTCCAAATCTTTGTTGTTCTACATGGGATCCTATGGGAAAGTGCACAGTGTCCTTTGTACTTTCAAAGGTCCTGCAGGTAAAGACGCTTTTATATATATGTAAGCTCGAAAACGAGGAGAACTTCATCAGGAGACACTTCTGGTGGTGTTTGGTTGGCTGGTGGAAAGGGTGGGCTTTTCTGTCCTTTTTTTTGTTGTTTTTTTTTGTTCTCTTTGGCCTCAAATTAAAGCAGAAAGTAGAAATTCATCCCTTTTTCCCTCAGCTTCTGCAGCCCCCCCCCTCCCCCCGCCCTCCCCGTTTCAAAGTGTACATCATCTTCTAAAAACTCAACCCTCAAAAGGGAAGAGCCAAATGAGAGGCAGATATTATAACAGGAGGTGGACAACGATCCGTCTGAAGTTGGTAAAGAAGGAGGTGGTTTTTGGTTTTTTTTTTTTTTTTCAGCACAGACACCGCTGCACAGAGGAGGAGGAGAAAAGGGCACATCTTCGAGTGGGTTGGACAGATCATTTCAACCCAAGCAATAGTGTAAAAAATGCTGAAAAAAAAAAAAAAAACCCAAGAAAAAAGGAGCAAGGGTGTACGCTGTTCGAATGGGGATGTGCGGAGATATCCATGCAGCCACCTCCTACACCTATAGATCTGAATTGGCCCTCTTAAAAAAATCCCAGGCTTATAAAAGGACAGTTTGGCATCACTTTTCTTAAAAGTCTTTTGAATCATGTCCTGGAAGGCTGGCACAGGGCAGAGTGATTGTGCTTCTTGAACAGCTAATGCTCTGCAACTTCGCGGCACCCTGAATTAAATATGCTCTACGTGCTGGGGGAGGGGAGAGGAGGGGAGGGGAAGGAAAAAAAAAAAAAAAAGAAGAAGCTAAAATAGATCTGACGACCACTGGCTCTTTGCTGACAGAATGGTATAGACAGTAAAATCTTATTTTCAAGTCCCACTATTATTACATTTCTCTTGCACTTGCAAAACACGACGAACGTGTCTCCAGTGATCGTTTGGAAAATTAAATCGAAGAAAGGTTCTTCGCATTTTTTTTTGGTGCTTGTTTTCGCGCCCCCACCCCCCCACCCCCGCAGCCTCTGTGAGTCCAATTTAGCCATTTCCAACAGGAAAACCCGCACCAATTTATACCCGCAACGTGCAATAAACCCCGGGTCCAAATTGCGAGACGCGTACTCAGAACTGACCGTGACAAGCTATACTTTCAAAACTAAAAAAAAAAAAATAATTTTTTTTTAAAAAAAAGGGGAAACCAGGCGTTTTTCGGACATGCTTTTACAATCTCTTGGAACGCACGCCCCGGCTTTTCCAGCCGGGAACCGGGCAGGGGCACCGCAGGCTCAGCCTGGCAGCTGGAATAGTAAAGGAATATATACTTTTGGGGGTTTTATTTTGATTTAAATAATAATAATAATAATTAAAAAAAAGGATGCCTTTAGTAGCCCTGCCCGTGCCGGAGGAAGCCCCCCGCCGCTCCAGCCGCAGCACGGCCGGGCCGTGGCACCGCGGCGGGGGGAGGTCGGGCGGCGGAGCGGCGTTGAGCGGGGCAGCGGCGCCCTCTGATGGGGGTTCCCTTTCCAAAGCTGCTGCCTTCTCCCTCCCTCGACCCAACACCCCCCCACCCCGGTGATCCCCATAGCTGGGGGGTTACAAACAGCCAAACGTTTCCTCTGCTAGAAATGGTGCTGTCATCAGTGTTTAATCCCTTACGATAAAGCTGTAGGTTCTTATTTACACCGATATTTTTTTTCTCTCAGTATTTGAACCTCTTTTTACCCTATAATTAGAATAAATCTTTCAGCCCCCACTTTTAAACGCAGTGTGTAGCCTGAGTCAGATATCCCAACCATCTCATGAGACGCCTGTTAACAGCCCTAGGAGGGAGAGGACCTTCAATACCGTGATGGCCACTTTGGTGAGAAATCAGAAAAAAAAAAAAAAAGAGATCGATCTTAATTCAACAAGTTATGCACCTCTCATTTCACATGATGTTTCCGGGATTATTATTTTTTTTTTCTTTTCTTTCCCAATTTTTCATGCACCTTGTCAAGATCCTGATTCACAAATGGACTTTCAACCCTGCTCTGCCTTTTAAATCCAGCGTGGGTCTCTACAATAAAGCAGATACCCCTCTATATGCAACTCCCAGCAAATCCGTATTGTTGGCTGGAGTTTAAAATCAAACAATTTATCTCAGCGCCCTCTGCTGCTCGCTGCAGGCCTTCGCGTAAAGGCAGGTTTCTGACAGTTCTAACTAAAAATCCAGTCTTTTTGGAAGTGTTTGATATCTTTTCTTTCAAAAGCTCTTCTTTTCCCTCACACTTTTCTTCCATATGTTCTCACGTGTGTTTCAGAATTCAGTATTTTTTTATTAAAAAGTTTCTTTGCAATTTAATTCACAGGGGAAAAAACATGTAACGCTGCAGGTATCTCGAAATGTAGCTTAAAAATTACTGCCTGCTTATTCATGGATTCACAAAAATCATTGGCTTCATGTGCATTTTATACCTTTTCTATGTGAATAGTACCAAAGCTCATCTCTTAAAATAAATCCAACTTCCCATCTTGTTTGCTGGTAAATCTAGTTTCTCTGTTACGTCTGCAGACATAACCAGGGTTTTTCATAGAATCATAAATCATAGAATGGTTTGGGTCACTTCTGGGCATCAGGACCCACCTCCCACAGCCCTGGGGCTGCCAACATCCTCATGCCACTACTTGCAGCAAGTGAAGACAGAGCAGAGGCAGTAACTCAATCTGAAACATCTTTCCTGAAAAAGGCTACGAAACATCCTAATAACCTCACGTAGGAGCAAGCGGGCTAGAAAGGGCTGGTGTGACCATGTCAACCATCAGTACGACCCACTTGTGAAAAAAAGGGACAGAAATATCTTTCTGAAGGCTAGTGGGGTCTTCCCTGTGATCCCTGAGCTCTTGTACAAGAGGAAGAGAGTCAAAAAGCTCTACACCAGAGAGGTTCAGTAACGAGTGATCAACCAAAGAGTCACAGAACAGAAACCTCACCAGCTGGCTTGTTGTCTCTGTCTCTCTCTCAACTTTTTTTGCTAGTAAGACAGGAGTCCTGTCAGTAAATCGTTCATAATACGTTTGAAGATATTTAGTCAGTTTTCCAGAGGACATTTCTGCTGCCTTTGCTTTGGGGTTTTCTCTTCACCTTTCCCCTCTGCATCTGAGTCTTTTGAAATCATAGAATCATAGAATGGTTCAGGTTGGAAGGGACCTTGAAGATCATTTAGTTCCAACCCCCCTGCCATGGGCAGGGACACCTCCCACTAGACCAGGTTGCTTGCAGCTCCATCCAACCTGGCCTTGAACACCTCCAGGGATGGGGCATCCACAGCTTCTCTGGGCAACCTGGGCCAGTACCTCACCACACTCAGAGTGAAAAATTTCTTCCTCATATCTTTTCTGTCT